GTACAAAGCACCATATCACGATTGTATTCGTTGATTTGGAGTCCACCACTATTTGGACATATGGAGCTGCGTCAACCACGATCTCTATCATGACCAAGCCTGGCGTGGGGTGCCACAGCGGAATGGTGTGCTCAGGTGACTGGATACTTGCGCTGCTAAAAGTGATGCCCGATTTCGCCATCAATTGTTTCCAAGTTATCGCATGGACCAAGGATCTGCGATGCATGATTGTCGCATTTTAAATCCATCAAGACTTGCCCCGCTTGACCCAATAGTTACCTTAATTATGGCTCACAACCAATACGACGGATGGGACGAGTCGGATAATAACCTGGAAGTCGAGAGAGCAGTACTTGTACACTGGAGAGGAAAGTTGGCACAGCAGCTCTCTTGAGTCGGAGCAGAGTAAGTTGAGTGTTTACGTGGCCCGGTCAACAAATTGAACCTGGAGACCGGAATGCGGCCCAGAGAAGTCGAATGGCATGCTGCAACCACCTTGCACTTCGCAGCATAGGATATGGCGTGGCGTCGGTGGCACATCGCTTTTCTGAGCCTCAGCCCTGCTTCTCAACCCAAGCAGAGATCCATTGAAACGGCGCTGCAGCGAGAGCAGCCTGAATGGAGGACGCGAGGGAGTTGCGGCAAAGGTTTCACTGCTGCGGACATCTCCACAGACCAGTCTCGTATCGCACACAAGCTCAGCTGTCGGCAGTGGCAGGAAAACAGTGGACAAGAGACAGGATTCGCATGAGATGTGTGTGCCCGAGACAGATCCCTTCAGCCAAAACCCGGTAACAGCACAACGGGAAGCAGACATTCGGCACTGGTGATCGCCCGGCAGTCGGGCCAAAGCAGGTGCAAACTCGCCCTGGATAAGTTCGTTCCTGTACCTGGCAGGAGATGTCAGCATTTAACTCTGTACTATGCATCTAGAAGTCAGCCTGCAGTTTCAAGTTTTTCCATTCTTTTGTTTTTTTTTTCGTGTCGTTGGACGCACCCCTAAAAATAATGCTGGTGTGACACATGCACAATGCGCTCCTCCCCATCAGCCACCCTCAAATACGAGTGCCGTGTTGGCTTGGGGATGGCCTGGTCCATTCGCAATTGGCAAGCTGGCGGGCCTGGGCAGCCGACCGGGTTCCTCCCAGCGCCACCCGCTTTGGACTCAGCCCGGTGCCTGCCGCGCCTGCTATTGGCCGGAACGCCCCGAGCGTCTCCATCAGTTGGCCAAGAACTGCCTGGATCCCTTCAAACAAATCTGACTTGCCTGTTGGAACGCCTGCATTCCAACCGTCTCCCGATCACTGCAGCATCCTGTTTCTCAGAGCCAAGTTTCCCCCTCGTCGACACAACTCGTTTCTTTAGCAACCACACACTCGTTTTTCCACCCGAACGACGCTCGCTTCGTCCGCTTCCTCGACCGCCAACCCCTTTACCTCCGTTTCGGGCTGGATTGAATACCCTCCGGTTCGTCCGGTGTTCCCATCGTCTCAAATTTCTCCACGCACCTTCGCGCGGGCCTGATTTTTGGTCGGCGGGCCAATAATAGGGGCTGCCCCAAAACGCCGTGACACGTCTCTGACCGGACTGTCCGTCCACCACTTGGTCACCACAGGCCAAATTCTCCGGCGTTGAACAAAGTTCTTTTTCTCGGATCGAATTTCGTTGGTTGTTGGGGGCATTGAAGTATTGGGACTTGGGTCCACGGCGCCGTCTCTTCATCGTCCCCGGAAACTTCCAACACATACACCATCATGAAGGCTTCTCTCTCCGCAGGCCACCTTGCTGTGGCCTTGTTGTCCCTGTCTCCCGCGGTTTCCGCATTGGCATGGCCCAGATGGCTCCCGGAGCTCGATTCCCTCGTTGTCCGGCAGGACGATTCGTCATCCCAAGGAGGTATGCATCTCTGACGTACCCTCCGGACCTTGCTTTCTGTGCTAACACTCGTGCGACCTCCAGAGTCTTCGTCTCCGACCGCGACACCGTCACCATCTAGCTCCCAAAAGAAGGGTGCCTCCTCAGACTCGTCAGATTCCTCGTCCACCTCGAGGGACCCCAACGAACCCCTCACAACCAACCTCAACACGGGCGGCGTCAAGCAAACAGGCACCGCGACCGGCACCGGCCGCCAGTCCGGCAACGCCACCACGACCCGGAGCCCCAAAAAGACCGAGTTCGACCCGCAGGATCCCGCCGCGGGCGTGGTCATGGTGACGCCGGCCATCACGGCGGGCACGCAGCTCTACAAGATCGGCGACTACATCACGTGGGGGTGGAACTACACCAACCTGCAGGGCACGCCGACGGCGATCGACCTGTACGTCAAGTGCAGCGAGGTGGCGCAGCCGTGGACGCTCACGCAGAACATGTCGTACGCCGAGGTCGGCGCGTACACGTGGGACACCAACCAGTTCCAGAAGGACCATGCCACCGCCCCGCTGCTCACGGAGCAGTACACGCTCGTCATTGCCGATGCCGACGGCGGCATCAGCGCCACGCCTGAGCCGGGGTACCTCGCGCCGTATTCCGGCTTTCAGTTTGGGCTGTACACGAAGCAGGCTTACACGGACTCGGGCGACGGGTGGCAGTGCGCGTCGTGCAGCGGTGCCATGTCGGGGCTGGATAACCGCGCTGTCGGTGTGGCGGTGATGACGAGTGCCGCGACGGTGCTCGGCTTTACCTGGTTTGTCGCTGGCTTTGGAGCGTTGCTTTGATTTTTTGAGTAAAGAGTGGGGTGGTGGTGGTGGCAGCGGATTATGTCTTGTAATGTGTTCTAAAGTCGGCCGCGATTGACAGCCGAGGGGGTTCTTCTGTTTGGTCTGGTTCGGCGTGGTCTGTCTGTTACCACTTAATAACGGAGTGTAAAGAGCGGGGGAGGGCGTTGGATTGAGTATTGCTTGCATTTTCCCACTTGGACTATCTCGCCTAGTCTTGGACTCAAAACAATGGGGAGGGGAGGACGCAGAAGGGGCACTTGGTTGCATGTATCTCTTTGTTATGACGTCTGCATATATATCAGGTAGCTTAAATGAAGCATCCCTTATGATAAAGCTTTTGTTTTTTGGCGTCGTTGCCTGCTCCGTGGTTGGAATGATACCCCACGAGGCTCAACCAGAAGACGATGAGCAAGTCGATGCCCTTCTCCACGCCTACACCATCCGCAACGAAAACCCCCCTCCTCGCTCCTCCCTATCCCTCCCAGAGAATATCCCGCTGAAATCCACCGCCCCCAAGTCCGCCGCCTGCTGCCCCCTCGCCGGCGCGTTGGGCGTCTCCCGCCTCCGCCTCCGCTCCTGCCCGGCCTTGCTCGGAAACGTAGGGAACATGGCCTCCTGCTTGGGCTTGGGGTCCTGCCGGAAGTACTCGTGCGCGAGCATCTCCCGCGCCGTCGGCCGCCTGTCCGGGTCGAGCGCCAGCAGGCTGCCGAGCAGGCCCGCCCCGGCGGCGGTGAGCAGCGGGAACTTGGTGCGGATGACGGACCCGGCGAGGGCGGCGCTGTTGGACCCCGACGGCAGGCGCAGGCCGCGCGCGTTGGGCAGGCGCCGGAAGGCGGGCCAGGACTCGTCGGTCGGGATGCCGCACAGCTCGAAGATCTTGGTGAGCTCGTCGACCTCGTTGCGGCCCTGGAGGAGGGGCTCGCGGGTCAGCAGCTCGCCGAAGATGCAACCGACGCTCCACATGTCGATGGCGGCGCCGTAGCGGGTCGCGCCGAGGAGCAGCTCGGGCGCGCGGTACCAGAGGGTGACGACGAGCTGGGTGAGCTTGGGGGGCGGGTCGCCGACGTAGCGGGCCATGCCGAAGTCGGCGATCTTGAGCTGGCCTCGGTTGTTGAGGAGGAGGTTGGAGGTCTTGAGGTCGCGGTGCAGGATCCAGTTGTCGTGAAGGTAGGCGACGCCCAAGGCGAGCTGTTGGAGGAGCGTCTTGACTTCGGAAGCGAGGAAGGGTTCGGGCATGTCTTCGAGGATGGACTTGAGGTCGTGTTCGAGGAATTCAAGGACGAGGAAGATGCTGGAGGCGCAACTGATGTTAGCCGTGGCAGGTCTCACTTATAGGTGTGCCTGGGGGAGGGCCGTACTTTTCGATCTTGCTCGTGTCGTCGCCAACCACCACTTCCTGCAGCCGGACCACATTTCTGTGGGCGCAATCCTTCAGAATCTGGATCTCGCGTAGACCCGTGACTGGCAGCCCCCCGCGGTCCTTGGGGTCTATCTTGAGCCGTTTGAGCGCAACGACCTTTCCCGTCGCCGTCTCCTTGGCCCGCGAAACCCAGCCGTATGCGCCCTCCTCGATGTCGTTGAGCTTGTCGTAGTTTTCGACGCTGCGACACCTGCCAAATGCGCCGCCTTCAAAACGCAGCAGTTTGGGGGGGTTGCTGGCAGCATTGGGGCCTCCCGTGGCTTGCGCCGTCTCGCGCTCCGGTGATATCCTTCGTCGTTTCGCTGGCGGCCCATTTGCGCTGTCGCCCTCCTGTTGTGCCGCGGCGGAAGCAGCAGCAGCCTCCCGAGCTTGCCTCTCGGCCTCGAGCTTGCGCGCCTTTTCGGCCTTGAGCCGCTTCTTCTCTTCCTTCTCCTTCTTCAACTTCGCATCGAGTGCTGCGTCTGCCTCGTCGTCTGCCCAGCGGGACTTGGCCTTGCTTGCCATCGCATCGGTGGGAGCGAGAGAAGGATGAGATTATCGGACTGTACTAGCATGCGCGGGGAGCTTTCAGGGTTCGCAATACTGTCGCTGGTGGCCGTCTGAAGAAAACAATCGCGGCATCTTTGTCCTTTGGGGGAACTGTTGCTGGGGCAAGCTTCCCTGCTTTTATTTGGAGATTGCCTGGGTTGGTCAAAGCTTGATGTGTTCACCCTAACCCGAGAAAGTGGTTGCTGCAAAGAGTCTCCGAACCAGGGACAGAAGGACCATATTCAACTTGAGAGGATTCGCAAAAAGCATTGCTGCATCCAAGTCCCATCCAGAAACTCAGAAGGGTACGAATGAAGGTCCGAAAAGCAAAAGAATGATCGACCCAGGGATCGAACCTGGCACCTTCTCGGTGGAATTATTCCAGTTAATTCACATTTGTGAACGAGACGTGATAACCACTACACCAGCCGACCTTCGATGGGAGAGGGGTTGAAAAGATGGGTTTATCATGGCTAGGATGACGGGCTTGGCGATAATGAAACCCACCCAATGCCCTTAATCACGAGATTATTCAGATGGTTCCAGATCTTGGCCTCCCCAGATGCGAGTGTGACTTTGGTCCTGGGCAGAATAATCAACATTGACTTCCAACCCAACAATCCCGACTTTGCATTTTGTTCGTGACAGGCTCAGGCGGTCCGATGGAATTGGGACCAAATGCAGTTGATGGAGGGGCATCCCAGACATGGCCCAATCGTCGACTGGGGACATGGGGTGAACGGACCATGCGCTAGCGAGAACACGGCACAGCCTCGCCAAGCATTGGATGCTGCTGGACCCAGCCAAGCCAGCCCAGGATGGAGAATGGGGGTTGCCCTCATCTTCAACTGCCCGCTTGGGACCTGCCTTTGCCCCTAAACATTCTTGCAGCTCGGGACAGTTGCTGCCGCCACCGACCTTTCTTTACCAACCCGCTTCTCTTATCGGTTTTTATTTTCTAGGTGTCCGATCCAATGGCCGGCCGATTCGTGCGCGCGTCGAAATACCGTAGGCGTTCTTAGCTCCGCCGTGCTCCGCTGCTCCGCTGCGCTGCGACGGGAATGCGGCCTCGCATGCGACAGCTGCTGACCGATCCTCTGACCAGGACACGTCTTTGGGAAGCCCACCAAGAAGGAGTTTTGCTACGACAACCTCCACATCAGCCGCAATGCTTGGGATACCAACTTGGTGAAGGTGCGTGACTGCCCTGTTCTCCAGTCCCTGCCGCGCCGAGTCCCATCCCAGACCAGTCGCTGACACCGGGCACCTCGCAGGTCAACCCCGAGTACATCTCCGTCAATTGGGAGTCGGGCGGCGGTGGTGCATTTGCTGTCATCCCGGTGAACGAGCGCGGCAAGCTGCCCGACCAAATACCGCTGTTCCGAGGCCACACTGCCGCGGTGCTGGACACCGACTGGTGCGTCGCAAACAGCCGACCGACAACAAGAAAGACACAGGTTGACCCCCGCACAGGAACCCTTTCAACGACCGCATCATTGCTTCGGCTTCAGACGACGGCAAGGTCTTCATCTGGGAGGTGCCTCAGGACTTCACCCTGTACACGGATGCCGAGGAGGTTCCTAGTGTGTCGCCGGTCAGCAAGCTGCCGGGTCACTCGAGGTGCGGACTGCACTGCTTGCTGGGATCTTTGTGATGTTGTACTCACAGTCTTGTAGAAAGGTCGGCCATGTCCTCTTCAACCCCGCCGCCGAGAGCATCCTGGCCTCCTCCTCTGGCGACTTCACCATCAAGCTGTGGGACATCAGCACCGGCCAGGCCAGCATCACCCTGAAGCATCCCGAGATTGTGCAGAGTATGTCTTGGAGCGCCAATGGGTCGATGCTGGTGACCACCTCGAGAGACAAGAAGCTGCGCGTGTGGGATGTGCGCCAGGAGAAGCCGGTGCATGAGTATGCGGGCCACGAGGGCGCCAAGAACAGCCGCGCCGTGTGGATGGGCGAGCACAACCGCATTGCCACCACCGGCTTTTCAAGAATGAGCGAGCGCCAGATCGGTTTGTGGGAGCCCGGCCGGAAAGATCCCATCGGTGGCTTCACCTCGCTCGACTCCATCTCCGGCGTCTGCATGCCGTTCTGGGGTAAGCTCACCCGTCCGTCCGACCTGCGAGATGGATCCTAACCATGCCACAGATGACGGCTCGAACTGCCTCTATTTGGCCGGTAAAGGGTAGGTCGTTCTTGATACTGTTTGAGGAATTCACAGATGCTCATGTTTCCCAGCGACGGCAACATTCGCTACTTCGAGTACGAAAACGACAAGTTCGAGTTCTTGTCCGAGTACAAGTCGGCCGATCCGCAGCGCGGAATTGCCTTCGTGCCACGCCGCGGCATCAACGTCCACGAGAACGAGGTCATGCGAGCCTACAAGACCATCAACGACACCCACATTGAGCCCATCTCCTTCACCGTGTGCCGCCGTGCCGAGACCTTCCAATCCGACATTTTCCCTCCCGCCACCGGCCTCAAGCCCGCCATGTCCGCCAAGGAATGGTTTGATGGCAAGTCGGCCGTCCCAGCCAAGATCGATCTTGAGAGCGTCTACGAGGGCAATGCGCCTGTTGAGGTCCCTGCCGACTACAAGCCTCCCGCAGCGGCCCCGGCCCCGGCTGCTACCCCGGCGCCGGCGCCCGCTCCAAAGAAGGAGCCTGAGCCGGCGCCTGTTCCCGTGCGTGCGCCAGCCACGATGGCCGACCAAAAGAGCTCCATCTCGGCCATGGCGAACAAGTTCCAGGACGACGAGGAGGAAGAAGAGGACGACGACGCCGAGACTTCGAGCTTTGAGGAGATCTCGCGTCCCGCCCCGCGCACCACCGCCGCGGCGCGCTCTCCTGCCAAGCCGCAGCCTGTCGCGACGGCTGCCCCGCCTGCGCAGGCAAAACCCGCGTCGCCGATCAAGTCCCCCCAGGCGAGCGCCGCGCCGCCTGTGTCTCGTGCCGCCCCTGCGCCCTCTTCTGCGCCTGCCACGCCGTCGAGCCCCGCGGTGGAGGCGACGCTGGAGCACATCAAGCAGCTCCTCGAGCAGCAAGGCAAGGTCATCAGCGCCCAGACCGAGCACCTCGCGGCCCAGACCCAGATGATCACGCGCCTGTCCGCCGAGGTGGAGACGCTCAAGAAGAGGGTCGGTGCGGGCACCCAGGACCAGAGCGAGCGGATCCGGCAGCTGGAGCTGGAGCTGGAGGCTGCTCGGTCTTGAAAGGGTGGGCAGATGTGGAGGTTGCTGCACGGGGAGGATGAGCCCGGCTCACCATGATGTGTTATGAGCGATGGCGGGGTGGTTCACGTATCCTCGTCGGAGTACGCAGGGTTCGTGGTGGGGAGGTAACTTGGTCGGAAAAGAATCGCGTTGGCTTTTTTCCTGGACAGGGCAGCCGAACAAAATACCCCAAATCATTACTTGACAGCACTTGTTTTGAACTGAATGCTCATGCTCATACAGTTTTTTTTTGCCAATCTATGCCGACGTCTTGTGATGTTTTATCGTACAACCCAAACAACCAGTTTACCTCTCTCCCTAGGTCGCAAGCCTAAAGCTCGTCAACCACCTCTCCCTTTTGTTCTCACCAATCCACCCCGATCCCGATCCCGATCCTGATCCCCATCCTGATGTGACCCCGCATACACCCCGGTATCCACACCACCAGCCGGCCCTCCGCCTCCAGTCCTCGTTGAACGCCCCGTTCCACGCCGACCACGCCCGCGTCAGCCGCACCCCCATGTCCCGCCCCGCGCCCGCGGGCCCAAAGAAGCGCGCCAGCACGGGCTCAATCCCTCGAATCCGACAATGTAGCGGGGTATCTCCTCCCCCCCGCCGTCGCCGCCGCCGCCACCGCGCTTCTGTTTGTTTGTCGTCGTATCGAGCGGCCACAGCTCCTCGGCGAGGAACTGCAGCCCGTACATCGACGTCCCCTCTTTCTCTTCTTTCTCTTCCTCTTCCTCTTGCCCGCTTTCAAGAGGGCCGTCGTTGGCTGATGATGATGAGGCGGGGGGGAGATAGAAGCGGTCGGCCTCGTCGAGGTAGGTCGCGCGCTCGGCGCTGCCGGGCGCGGTGTGCAGGGGCGGTTCGCAGGTCAGGGCGCGGGCGCGGAGGGCCGGGTAGACGAGGCGGGAGCGCCAGGGGGTGGTGTGGCAGGGGGTGAGGAACAGGGCGAATAACTCGGGTGTTTGCCTCGGTTGTTGTTGTTGTGTGTTTGTTCTTGGTCGGCAAGGGGGCCGAGAGCGAGGGCGTCCGGGTGAAGGCGCTCAAAGTCGGTGCGGAGAAAGGTGAGGACGGAGAGGGGCGCGGGTTGGTGGAAGAGGGTGAGGTAGCCGGCGAGGAGGAGGTTGAGGGTGAGGAGGTTGGTGAGGGTGAGTTTGTGGCGGAGGGAGACGGGGCTGGAGGGGGAGGAGGAGGGGTTGGGCTGGGTCGAGGTTGAGGTGGACGGGGCGGTGAAGAAGACGGCGATGTAGGGCGCTGCGAGGATGTGGAGGATGGGGAGGAGGGGGTAGATAAAGCGGACTTCTTTGTGGGTGATGAGGGAGAGGGTACTGATCATGGTGAGCGCGGCGAGGGCAAGGGTTTTGAGGGTGTTGGATTGGAGGACGGAGGTGCCCTTTGCGGATGCGGTTGCCTTATAGAGGCCCACAAGAGTGAAGGGGAGAAAGGTGGTGGTAAGCAGCGGGACGCCCTGGGAGAGGTAGTAATGCCAGGGCATGTGGCCATAGAAGACGGCAAGTGACTGCGAGATGTTGAAGTAGAGCCACTTGTACGGCGGAAATGTCCAAAAGCCAAAGTACAGGCGGTCAGACACGAGAGAGATGGCCAGCACCGCCGTGCCGCAGAGGATGACTTCTCGTACGAGCACCAACAGGGTCGACTTAGTTAAGGGCGATGCTCCGGCAAGAGAAAATCTAGCCAGTGAAAGACCCAAGACGGCCAGCCATATGAGCAGGTTGGTCGGTCGGAGCAGAACAGCGACGGCGGCAAGGACCAGGGATATCCGGAGGCTGTCACGGTCAGCTGGGTTCCATGCTACAGCTCTGTGAGACACACCTTGTCACTCTACCGTTCTGCTGAAGGGGCACCTCCTTGGTTGTTTTTGCATCAGCAAGCAGCTCCCATGGCCAGTATGCCAAAGCGGCGATGGTCAGGGTCGTCTCCAGGGCGTTGGAGAATGTCCTGGTTGAGCAGTACCATTGCCAGGGGTTGAGCACCGTCATCCAAAGCTGGGGACAGGTCAGCTCCAGACAGGCACACTCAATCAGCGAAAACCAAAAATCACCGCAGCCCAGGGAGCATTGCTTTCTCTGCCATAGATGTCCATGGCCAGCTTCCAGGTGTAAAAGTCGCCCAGAGCAGCAAAGACAGACTGAAGAGCGCCAGGCAGAGCCACAAGAATGAAAGCCCGGAATGGAGGGAACAAACTCATGACGCTCAT